GTCAATTTTGGCTCTTATTGAATCATCAGATGTTTTAGTGTCGTTCGTCTAAGGATGAGAAGGAAAGCAGGAAGAAGAAGGAACACGATGCCTTCTGGGAGAGAAAACATGAAGGGGTGAACCAATCAGTCATGGGGTGTCACTCATGATAATAAATGGTGGTATGCGATAGGGGCCATAAAACAAATCCCAGCAAATATTAGTGCCAAGTTTGGAGTATTGGGGCAAGGAAATATGTGAAAAGGAAGTATCACACACACTTGAGTCTCGGAGGGAGAGTGGAGTAGGGAGAGGTATGGTCTTGGGATTCAAGTCCTAAACTACTTGGTGGGGGAGGGGTTGAGATGGAAGCAGCTCGTTCACATCTCCAACTGTGTAGGGTGGAACAAAAAATGTATGTGAGGTTTGTATTTTCCTGGGTGATGCAATAGGGCTTAGAAGTGATCGTGCCTGGTCTGAATTCCTGCTATCATAGCCTTGTGGCAAAAAAGCTTTGAAGTTTGGAGGTGGGTTACTAAGTTAGAATTCTCGAGTTTGGTAAGAGGAGGCGGTTTTTTTAGTGTTAGTAATTGCTTGGTTTAGCACAGTATGATACGCTAACTGGTTTCCCGCCTGTCGTTAGTCTCCAAACTCTCTATCGATAGTGTAATCTGAATTTACATTGTATTGGATCATCTTGAGCTCCTTTCGGCACTTGTTACAGGCAGCGAGTGTCCGGTGGCGGGGGGAGAACAAATGTATGATACGGCCAATCTCCTGCGCCCGCCGTCACGCCCGGGAAAATTTCGGAGTTGGTGTTAGGGTGTCTATTACACGTACCGTATGATATGGTAACATGTACGGTACAGTACCTACCAGTACCCCATCAAAAAACCTCACAGCCGATCCCCATCGGAGGGATTAAGCAAGAAAATAACCCCTCACAGCCCCCTCCTCCTTACCATAACATCCCCCTTCACCGTCCACGTATCATAGTGCTACCACCAACCTCCATTCATCACAACTCACCGACCCCTCCAGCTCCCACTATCAAAACCAGGCCGGGCCCAAATGGCCCAGCGCAGCCTAAAAATGTTCCCAGAATAGGTTATTGAAAAAACAAGCGAGACCACCAATCGCAAGTCACGGGACCGGTTCGCCAGACGGCATAACCCCGAGCTTTTGCCATCTCGCCCAATCAACCGGAACACAGCACACCAGCTGAGGCATCACAAAGGATCATTCTCGTTTATTCCTTTTTCCTATGGTGTCGGTTGGTCAGCCCGGTTTTGGCTGTATGGAGTTTTCGCCAGTCTTCTCTGGATCGTGAGGTGTTTGTTGGGGGGCGGGGGCGGGGTACGTACAGGATTTCTGCACGGGAAGGGCCGCCGTGGCTGGCCGACATGAGCTGGGGAGTGAACTGGTGGCAGTAGGGGATGGTGGGTTGTGTGATTTGTTTGGACCTTTGTGAAATGAGGCTGTCCTCGAGTGACTGGTTGTGATAGGGCTGAGTCAGACGGAGGGTTCCGGGGTTTGTTTAGCTTCTTAGCGAGGGGTTGGGTGGGTTGTGGTTGGTTGATTGGTGCTCTTGCGTTCACGGGAATGCTGTGCTGTACTGGGGTAGTACAGCACTCTTCTAGAGTGTATTTTTATTATTATCTAGTTTTATAGAGCCTTCATATCTCACCAACGAGGACTGTACTTGTGCGCGTGATCATAATGTACGGTAGGTACAAACCTCGGTATGATACCGCAATCAAGTCACCGATCCGCTCCATTGAAGGTGCGGAGCCCTATCCACGTTACAGGAAAGCCACGACACTTCACACCTGCTTACACCGTGTGTTCGCTGTATCGTATCTATTGCAGTTGAACCTTCGTTCCTCCGGGCCCCGAGTACTCGCCGCCTGTCGAGCCTCTAGCCTTACCCATTCCACCCTGTTCAACACGGGGTCCCCGTTCTCGTTTTCCAATTTTTTTCCAATTTTTTTTTGTCCTCGTTGATAGGGTCTGTCCACCCCCCCTCCAAAAGTAGTATCATCCAGCGATTCCCCTCAACGATGCAGCGCTCGAGATCACAACACCTCACTCGCCGAAAATCCGCTCGTTTAAGGCACCGGGGATGCTTCCCGATCCGACGATGGTGTTGCGTTTCGCCTATGATAACCTACCGGAGGTGATTATCGATACAGTGCTTACCGTGCGTTATCTCGACCGGGCGGCCATGGTATGTGTATAAAGTTATTCGGTAACAGGGACGATTCTAGATTTTATGTCCGTCCCAAGCAGGGCCCGGGGTGGTACGATTACTGTAATTATACAAGCAATGCATCATGGGCGCACGTACAGTGCAGTAGCGCACAGTACGGTACGGTACGGTTACCGAGGTGGGGGGTTCTCCCATTGTCACACCTGGGGGCTTCGGGGGTTATACGTGGCAGGAGTAAATCCATTTATTTGTTTCCGTCGGTCCATCTACCCATCGTGGATTTCCTGGAGGCTGCGAAGGGAGGGTACATTTTCCTCCTCCCCAGAGGTGCATTTATTTGCGCGGTCGTAGCCTATTTCTGATATGAGTCCGATGGGGTGCGGGCGTGGGGGGTTTCGTCGAGTTGACCAACCTTGGCTCCTGGGGAAGGGAATTTTTTTATATCCAGCACCTTCGGATATTACCCCCCTCATCCACTAGTGGCATTCCTGTTGACTTCTGCGATTGGGCTGCTACAGTAAATTTAGGTCGGAGGGCAGGTTTTCCGCACTAGCGAATGGATTACTATCTACGGCACTGTACAGTACTCGCGCGGCTGAGTTGAAGCTGGATACCTGAGATGGCAATGCCCGTGCAAAATGTTCAACTTCGACTCGTCCGTTCTGGCTTTGGTATCGTCTGCGTGATGGTAGCTAATTGCGGCGCAGTTCGACAAGTTCTTCCTTGGGCTACCGCCGGGAGTCGGTAAAATTCGTTGTCAGGCGTTCTAAGCTAGTTCTGGGGCTGTTATCCGTTTCGTGATTTCGCTGAGGACTCGGGGTGCAGGGTTACGGTAGTTGAGTATTCGAGAGGCAGATTCTGCTGCTGTGGAGCCTCTAATGATTGAATCGTGTGTCATGTCGTTCGAGTTGCCTCCTCTGGTAAGGTCTAGTATTTTTTGTCTTTCAGAGGGGCTGGGCGACTCACTTTTTGCTGCAGTACCGCTATTCGTTTCCGGAGAAGGAAGTTTTGGACTACCCAGCGCACGGTTTGGTGGCTACACTATTCCCTTGTTTGGGGTAGCGGAAGAAGGATTTGCCCTCTCCAGAATCGCACTGCACCGCTGGCGTGCCTGGTGTCTCCAAGGTAGGGAGTGAGGTGAAGAAGAATACTGTTTTTTTTATTATGTCTTCTCGCGCGATACCGGCAGTTTGAGTATTTTTTTCTTAGCAACGGTCGGCGCAAGGGAAACGAGACAAAAAGAGTACTGATGGCACCGCTATTTTACAGGGAGGGCCCGTGACGTGCGGACATTAAACGAATCTTCCTGTCCCGCAAGGCCCAAGGGATAATGCTCACTGAGCACAGATCGCCTGGAAGCCCATTGGCGATAACAACGGTACGAGGCTTGGATTAGTCAAATTACATCTGGCACGCGCGCTGACGTTGCCTACGGTATGGTAAGTAGAGAATCGGTATTGTCACCGCCCGATGACATGTAAAATAATAGCGAGGAAATGAGGAAACGGATCTCGTGGTGCGGGCGAGGAAGAGGGGGCCCCGGATAATTGTAACCGGAGCTCATTCCAGACCTGGAAGTCGAAGCCAGTGAGAGGTGTTCGACGATCCAGTGGAATGGATCCCCACGCGAGACTGAGCACATTCCCGGGATGCGTGCGTTTGGTGGTGGCGTACGGTCCGCAACCTCTCGGGATTCCCGAGCTTTCAATTCGCTGATTCTTGGCGGAGGGTGGAAGGAGTGGGGGAAGGAAGGAACCAAGGGATGGAAGATCACGGCACCGTTACTCCTACATGCGCTGGTATGGTGGAAGGCCCTCATTCCACTTGCTCGGGCTTCGTATTTGTACGGTACCATACGGACACCGTTCCATGCTCTGGGGGGAGTGAGAGTGTACGACCATACTGAGGGCCGATCTTGGCCCGGGATGGAAGCGGATGAGGCGAACAGTTTGCTAGCGAAGCCACAGTGGCTTCGAGATGTTCGACTCTCTGATTGGCCGGGAGGCTCTGGGGTTACTCGGGGCAGGTTCGCCTCACCACACTCAACCCCCGTACTGCACCGGCGACAGGGACCGAACGGAGGCAAACGGCTGGGTCATATGCTCCATCTTTTATTTTTACCTTTTCTATTTTCTATTTCTTCGCAGCCTTCTGGCATAATATGTGTTCGGGGACTGGGTCGCTCTGAGCGGGTATTCGATCCAAACTTACCGTACTTGCCTATCCAGGATTCCTCTCCTTGCTGTACAAGGGTCTGTCCCTTTCCCCACCGGGAATGGTTGGGAACATCGTATACCCCATGGGATTGGAGTTACCGTTTACCGACGGAGTCCTATAAAACTGTACCTGGCTTAAATCACTTCTCCCCTTGTTGGCCGTCGGGCTTGATGGCGGCCGAGCGTTTGGTATGGTAAAGAAGGGGGGAAAGGGTTTACAGGGCGAGAATACATACCCTTGGAGTACGATGCGGGGATCCTGGAGATTGGGAGGTGATCGCGGAGGATTGTCGGTGATGGATGAATGGGGTAGCGTAATCAGCAGCGGTACCCTGCTGCTGCTGTGGTGTCGCGGTGTGGCGCTCGTCCCTGAAGCTGAAATTGATTCCCTAGTGGGCCAATGGCATGAAACTCGGGTTTGTTGGCGGTGGGGTTGAGTTTTCAGCCCTGTAGCAGTGAGATGTCCATTTACAATTGGGTACGACATCCTATTTGTTGGGTTGTGCTGTGTTACGGGTGTGATAGGCTTTTTTCTATGCTAGGCTTCTGTCTCTTGTGTGATACGGCGTTGCTGTCGGGAATTGTGTCGTGCCTGTGGCCTCATGAACTAACAAACCTGAGCATTCCTGGGATTTCTGCTGCTAGCCCTCGCTGCCATTGCCCTCTCCCCTCCACACCCTGCCCAAGGCACATCAGACATTTCTTCTCTCCACTACTTAACCCCCTCCCGTCCGGATCGAATAGGAGAAATATTTTTCTGAGATTGTGTTACACAAGCCCTTTCCCTTCTGCCTCTACTGGAGGAGATAGACAGTTTGCCGGAATGTTTACAGATCCTGTTCCAGAACTCGACTGCCATGGTTACTATTTTAGGGGTGGAGTTTTCTTTGGGAGTATGTTCTGCGTGCTTGTTTGGTGGATCGTCAATCGTCAGGTATGCGAAATTTTTCTGGATTTCTTCCCTGCTTCTGGCTTCATGGGATGATTTTGGTTTAACAATTGACAGGCCCCCCCAACTGCTGCGAACGGGAGAAAATTCCAGAGCCCTCCGATGCTACAGAGCAAGCTGCCTTTTGGCATTGATTCCATGCTCACGTTGATGAGATCTGTAAGGGAGTTTAGACTTCCGGTTGCCCTCATGGAACTGCATGATCGGATGGGAGATACTTATGCTTGTATGCTTTTCGGAATGAGGGCAATCCGTACGAGGGACCCACGGAATATCAAGGCCATTCTAGCCACTCAATTCGAAGGCAAGTGGTATTTCCCGCTGAGTTTCTTGTGATATGAAACTAACATATTTTAAGATTACGGTCTGGCACAGGAACGCAAGGCTCACCATTCACTCCTGGGAAATATGGGCATCTTTTCCGTAGATGGAGTTAGTTGGTCTCACAGCCGTGCACTACTTCGGCCTTGCTTCGATCGTGCCAACGTATCTGACCTCGGCCAACTGGAGGGGTTCATGCAGATTTTCTTCTCGAGGATAAATGAGCTCCCCCGGGAACCGTTCACTCACGCCCGGGCCGTTGAGCTCCAAGAACTTTTCCAATGCCTCACCATGGACTCCTCGGCCAATTTCCTCTTTGGGAACCCTATCGGCGCCCTCGCCCCCAAGAAGTACGCACTCGGGAATGGCGAGATGACTTTCAACCAAGCTTTTGATATTGCTCAGTATGGCCTCGCTATGCGAGCGCCATTGTCCAGCTTCTACTGGCTGTATAACGGGCGGGAGTTTAGAGAGGCATGTTCGACTGCACGTACACAGGTTGCTGTCTACGTTTCTCGTACCCTTAGGAAGCTCAACCTTGCAGAGAAGAATCCAGAGAAGAAGGGTTTGGGTAAGAAGTACGTCTTTCTGGAGGAGCTCGCGGAGCGAACCCAGGATCCACGGGTACTTCAAGATCAAGTGTTGGGTGTTATGTTGGCTGGGAGAGACACCACTGCCGCCCTTCTATCCTGGACTTTCTTGTGCTTGGCAAGGAATCCGGAGGTGTTCAGAAAATTGCGTGCAGAGATTTCGGCGGCTGTTGGCGTTGACGGGGATGCTAGGTTGCCCACCCAGGAGGAATTAAGGAGCATGCAGTATCTGAGATGGATCATCCAGGAAGGTGAGTTTTTTGAGAACTTTCCCATTTGGATAACCGTACTAATAGCTGAGGGTAGTTCTCAGACTCTATCCTCCAGTCCCCATCAATGCCCGTCGTGCCTTACGTGCAACCACTCTCCCTTACGGTGGTGGGCCAGACGGAAACTCTCCCATCTCCATACGCAAAGGAGAACGCGTAGTCTACTCTGCCTTCTCACTTCACCGTCGTACCGATGTATATGGTCCTGACGCTAATGAGTTCCGTCCTGAACGTTGGGGAGAAGAGGCTCTACGAAGGATCGGATGGGGCTGGCTTCCGTTCAACGGTGGCCCCAGGATCTGCTTAGGGCGTGAGTTTACCACTCTATCCCCTCTCTTGGAGATAGTGCTAACAGTGGAAACAGAGCAAATGGCATTAACCCATGCTTCCTACGTTGTCACGAGGATGATGCAAGTCTACAAGGAAATAACTCCCAAGGATTTCACTCTTGCAGATGATGCATACGACACTAAGCTCGTCATGGCTTCCGGCCGTGGTGTACATGTTTTCCTTTCCTAAACCCCCCTCTTTTCCTTCTACTAGAGTCTGGGAATGGTACGGTAACGGCGAACGGCGTTTTGGTGGTGTATTTAGCAAGTTTGTTTATAATACATTTTTTAGTGTTGCCAGATGCTGTGCTACAGCTTACGGGGGCAATGAATACGTGAACCAATCAGAAACGATTCGCTTTAGATTAGCTCCATGAAATGCGCTCATAGCACCCCCTTCGGCTATAATGCCGATACCGTAAATTACTGTGTCCGATTCGCAGTCCCAAGTGGACGGTATTGTGTGTCATTCCATGTTCGTCCGAACCTATGTGGATTTTTTTTTAATTTTTTTCCCCCCCGCCGCCACGTTGTACTATTGGAAAACGCTACATACCCGGCCTCCTGTAGGAAAAACTCTCTTTTCGCTTAACTTAGGTTGTACCCGAATTTTTAATGTCAACCTTAAACCTTCAAATTAATATATTGCGAAACAACAAGTGAGCCACACGAACTGGGTGTAGCGCTGACTCTTGTATTACCGGTAAGGGGGGTGATTAAGAGCCAGATAGCGATAGCCTACCGGGCCGGAAGAGTGTCGTAGGCGCAGGAGTGAGCAGTTTTTAATGTCGGTTTTGCTCAAGCTCTCACAGTAGGATTTTCCCGAAAATAATAAAAATAAAAAAACCCCTTCATCGCCAAAAAAGGGTGGGTACCAGGCATACTATGCTATCAGGGATCATCTCACCCCTTTACTCTTCCTAGTTTCCTCTTCCCGCCTCTGGGCGTCATTAAGATTTCCACGATTTTGAAGCCTTTTGCGTGTTTCTGTTGGTTCACTTGGTCGGATCCACTTCCCTGTCTGGTACCGTACGTTACTGCTGCATCATAGGAGGTTATGTTGGTCTTGAGTCAACTTGTGTATGCTTGGCGGCTTGGTTGGGATATTGCTCTGATTAATCTGTCGAGGGTTTTCGCCGGGGAGATTCCGGGGAATCGTGTATCACGGCGCGAGCGTCGCACTGGACACTGGGGTTTGAGTGCAGGTTTGCGTTTTCTGTGGCGTATAGGTTTGGAAAGGTATGTTATGATACTGTACCGCACGGTACCCAGGTCAGTCACGGTAGATCACTCGAGGTTTTTGTGGATTATATCACCGAGAAAAAGGGTAAGAAGCTCGATTTTTCTGCCACATGCGGAGGTATGGGTTTATATCTCAAACTAAGAAGTGAGAAAAAAGAAATGGAATAGTGGAAAACCGAGGTTGATATCATGGGAACCTCGGAGGAAAAGGAAATATCTTGGGAAGACCTCCGGGAGAGAGGATATATGAGAACCTCGAAAGAACAGTGAATGGCAAATAGTTAGGAAAGAGATCTTACCATAGTTGAGTGTGGTATGGTTGTGGAGTTGTGAGACGAATGGAGAAGAGGTGAGAGAAGGGTTAAACGTTGTCTACCGTTTGGGGGAGTGATGAGGAAAAAGGCTAGAAGAGAAAATAGATGAAAGACCACTCTGTTTGGTGTATAGCAGTAAATCTAAAGCCATGCATTGTTTTTGACGCGGGGGGGGCCAGTGAATCATTACTTGAATGTCGGGAGCGATGGCTGGAGCCGGGTTGTATGCTATGGGCATTAGATCGCAACATCGTCGGGGCCACAAATGACTCGGATACCCTCCCTCACTCCTACGGAAGCTACAGTAGGGATTTGCGGCTGATTTTTTTTATAAAAACTAGCTAGTCAATCGACGCCTGGGCTGGTGATGATACGAGGTGCTATGGCGTTTTGTAGTTCCTTCCGGTGCTCTTCTGTTTTATGGTGCCATTCACGTAATGCTCAACCCTGTATGAAGTAAGCACTATGCCCTAAACCTAGTATCTTAGGGACTTAACTTTCCTTTGTAACAATAGCACATAATTAATAACGTGTTCATTTCTATTTACACCAATCTCATGAATATTCCAAGGAACATTTATTCTATCGGTGGCCCTGATACCGATTCACAGAATATGTGATTCTCTGTTTGATTCCAATCTGCAACCAGAAATAAGGGTTGCTTTTAAGGAAGATAATCATTGAGTAGATGATTATCGACTGGTAAAATTAACACATTATTAGGAATGAGAGTTATGTTCCTTAGAAGATTTGGGGTTCAGATTATAGTGTTTATTTCATACAGGGTCGAGCGTTACGTGTTGCATGGAGCAAGGTGTACGTTTTGAGTGAATGGCACCATACATCATCTTATCCTCGCGGGCGCCCTGCTGGATTCAGGGTACCTGTGTAATCCTGACCCAATTCTTATCCTCTTATCCAAACTTGGCTTTTCTCCCATCTCCGAGATTTTGGTGCTACTCCTTTTCATGAGAAAGGGTCCCGCAGGTAGGTACCAACGATCGGTATCAATGTCCCCGGAGGTGTATCGGTCCTATAATTCATTCAATGTAATACTGGTCTCAGTCGAGAGGGAATCTTAGTCGAATTGATGGTATTAAATTGGACAAGTATCATATTTATTCCTATGGTATAGCTATGTGAGGTGCTTAGCTGCTATGTTGATTAAAATGTCCGATACTTGGTGGACCCCCTTGCTTCCGAGGGGGAAAGGGGAAGCGGGACTCCGGTATCTTTTAATCCCCTGTTGTAATGAATAATTATTTTCGTCGATGCACTCCCAGTGGTCGGGAGAGAGGAGCAAAGAATCTAGGGCTATCCGGAACATAGGGATTGAAGGTGAAGAGTTTTGATTTCCTCAATAATACCATAAGGCAAACTGCTATCATACCGTGAGAGAGGTGGTTGAAACAGACCCTTAGTATTACACCTGGTATGAGGGTGATGATAGGCGGGTGGTGGGAGGGAAAGGGGGAAGGGGGAAGTTCCAAAAGGGCAGGACTTTTTTGTCCCCTGAAAGGCAATAGAAGTAGACACTCTGGTAGTATGAAAATACATGAATCGGAGCCGTGGGCGGGCTGCATTTTCTTTAAGAATAGTTAGAGCACTAGGACAATAACCTCTGACCTGAGGTAAACACACACTAAAAATACAGTACCTTTTAACAAGGTTTTCCCCGCCATAACAAAAAGAGTGTGGTTTACGGCGGGATGGAGAAAGGAAGGAAGAAACTGTGTGAAAGAGCGATATAGGTGAGAAACTACTGATCATGTAGGGGAAGGATAGCTACTAGGTAAATTGGATAGGCTTTATTTACCCTAGGATAACAACACCGAGCCGGGATACGGCCGGTATCTCTTAAACCGAGCGGCCTCGTGAGACCGATGAAGTACTCAATTCAAGTTGGGAATAGCTGTCGGCGGGGTGTTTGTAACTATTTGAGTCTTCTCACTAGGGGTAGTGCCGAGCTGTTGGCCCCAAGGCTACAGCTTATTGATGTAAAAGTGCAAGGGCTAGGGGGGTTCAGTATCATACAATATATGGTGCATTTCACTTGAAGCATGCGCTGTGCTAGGTACAACCAGTGCTATACCCTAAATCCTGTATCTTTAGAAAAAAAATAACTTTTATCAACAAAAATCTCATATCATTAATAGTATATTAATTTTAATACACATCAGGCGATACTGGAACAGAGGCTGCTGCATTTGAGTAAGGATGAGGGGTTGAAACTAGTATTGTTGGAGAATTTCGGTCTATTTTTTCTTGATTGTTTACAACAGAAAAGGGCAGTATTGGAAGTATAATGGCTCGTATCATATGATAGACTTATAATTGATACATATGGTGCGCAATATACCATTAATTATATAGAAATATTGTTAAAAAAAGTTAATCTTTTACTAAAGAGACAGGGTTTAGGGTATAGCACTGTTTGCACCTAGCACAGCGCACGCTTTAAGTGCAATGCACTATATATAGTACTGAACACTTATCTTAAAAGCGCGATCTGATTATGGGATAAGCCATCCAACTGATGCCTTATTTACACCTTAACACCTACCGCTCAGAAGGAAAGAGCCGTCTTAGCCAGCTGGGGGAGGGGGGGGGGGGGTGGAGGGCGCTAGAAAGAGGAGGGAGAATCAACATATATCCATGACTTGGTCAGTAATGGTAGAGAATGCTTCTCACAAGATCTACCCATCGACCCGGGATGGAGCTAAGGAGTCGCAGGCCAGGGGGTGAAAAAATTGCCAAATTCTAGTAACATAGTACTAGAAAAAACAGATATTCAAATCTGAAGGCTCCCCATCTATAGATAGGAGCAACACTTCCGGTCTCTTTCCCTCCCTCCTGCTAGGATCTTCCAGACTCCTAGGTTAATACCGGAACACGTTATTTCTCCTCGTGGGCTGCTACAAAACTAATAGAAGACGAATGTGACAGGACTTTGGCTGGCTCTTCTGGTAAGGCGTTGCATGTGTTTTATTTGTCTCGGATGACTGGCCTTGGGGTGTTTCCCCCTCGCATACCCGAAAAGGGAAATTCCAGCCTTAGAGTGAGTTCGCTCTAAAGTTATGTTCGAACACATGCTGTATTTGAACCCTCCATATCCGTCCCCATGCCTCAATTCTGTGGGTAGTTACTGCCACACGAGTCTGTTTTCTGTGTTTGCTCTCGTGGCCAGCATGCTCATGTGTAGAGTTATCCCATTGCGTTCCGGGAAACGACTACACCCGCCCATTTCGAAGCAAAAGCTGGGGAAAGGAAAAACCACTCGAAATCGATTGAAAGCACCGGGGCAGGAATCAATTATTTAATCCCTATAGAGCCCTCAAAACAGTCCTCCACGTATATTTCTAGTTTTGTTCATCCTATCCTAGCCGGACCAGCATATAAGTTAGGCTGGCTAGATCAGGGCTCCTGATTCCCGAGTGACCAGCCATGCAGGAAACCTCCACACGCCAAAGGTAAGCAGATGAATGAGGAAATTATCCGCGGCTTTCCGTCTACTGGTCACCAAGGTCACCGGAACATATTCGAGACATTTATTTCCCTTTATCCATGTGTGATACTCCCCCTCGTATACATTCCACCTCTTCCCGTACCAACTACACCTCCCGTGTTGTCTCACAACCCGGGCTCTCGGATTCAGGGTGTTGCCCAACTTCACCTCGCCTAGCACTAGGACTACTATCCAACCCAAGTTCCCTATCTTAGCCTCCGCAACGCCAAACGCAATTCACTTCTCTGGGCAGGAATGAGTAACCATCCCCGCGTAAGGAGTTCAAGGTACGACACTCGAGGGACTTCCGAGCCCATCCTTACTTGGTCTTCAGATCTCGTATGTTTCCTGTCGCATACCCTGTCTGTCCGAGCGGCACAAGCCTCCTTCCAGATGTTGATAGGATGGATACACAAGCCCTCCGGCAATTCCGGCGAGAGGGGAAAGAGATCTGATTAGCGACCTAGTTTCTCGGGTTCTTTATTTAGAAATAACTTGAACCCCCTCTTTGGGTTTGGGGTATTAGCTTTTGGATGGGGAGGGAATGGGTAGGGCGGGATTGCGGCTGGCGGGGGGCCTTCTAGTCTCCACGGCACGCGTGCTCAATGGTGTGACGGGACACTATCATATGCCATACTTTATCTCCTCAGTGATCGGCTCAGTTTTTTATTCAGTGCCAAGCTTGTAGGAAATTTTTCACGTGGTGAAAGGGATCACGTCGCAACGGGAACTGTATAGTACCGCTGACACCACATCTCATTCAACTGCATCCCTTTCCAATTCTGATAATCCATAGAAGCAATTCGCACTGTTATCGGTTGGTTCTTCGCGATTTAGCAAGGGAGACTCAAACTGTGAAAATTCACTAGAACATCTGAAGGACTATAATCTGTAATATATTAAACACCAGCTACAAGCTTTCTACTAATCTAGCAGATAAAATATATTAAAAAACCTAGTGTTGTACTCTTCTCTCTACTCGCCCTTGATCAAGCACCGTCATCTCCATTGCTCTTATCGAAGACTTTCCAAGCATCACATACTGCCTCTATCTCCTCTGGGCGGTTCACGGGCATTTCCTCCTTCCGCTCAATGACTTGCCTGCGCGCCGTCAGTAATTTGGTCCTTGGCTTGAGGTTAGGGAGAGGGGCTTACATAGCGAGACCCAGATGTAGATGCCAGGCGATATGGCAATGCATCAACCAGGCGCCCGGATTATCATTCTTGAACGCGATGACGAGAAAGCCTTGTGCTGGCAAGAACGCCACGTCTCTGCGGACGGGATTTTTTAGGAGGAGCTTTGGGTGATTGGGTGTATTTTCGTATATTCCTACACCCTTCCCGAGGACGTAAAAGTCGTGGCCGTGTAGGTGGAAGGGATGACCGACTTGTTGATTATTAACCGAGGGACCAATGAATCAACTTAGCGAAGAAACTTACCAGGCAAGAGGCTTTGAATGATAAAGTATGTCCACTGTTTAGTCGACCCGAGGCGTCAGCATTCGGGTAGAGCGCATACGTTCAGGAAAACTTACCCCATCGATAGGTGTCACCTCCGTGGCTGAATACGATTTAGGGACAATCACGCCTCGGTCTTCATTGATAAGCATTATCGACGGAGCTGAAGTGTTTGGATTGTAATGATTGTCGTTAACTATCCATTGGAATGCCGGTACCGTTCCGCTGGTGTTCGTGCGTAACAAGGTTAGTTGAAAGTTCTCTTCAAGGTTTGCGCTCCCGGCGTCGTCTTTAAAAAAGGGGGCGATGTGTTTTCCATTCTCTTCTTCGCACTGATCTGTGGTGTTCCAAGGGGAGCTTGTTGGATCCAAGGTAGAGTAGTCGTAACGAATGATTCCACTAATGTCGTATCGCCGGGGATTCGGTGGGAGGCAGCTGAGCTGTGGGACGGCACGCATCCAGTAGTCACCTGGAGTAGCGTTTGCTTCGACGATCACTTCATATCGCTGGCGTTAAAGACTTCGATTAGCCTGAGCTATCCTGAGGTGTGGATTCGAGTGCCTAACCTGCCCAATAGCTATGGAGATCACTTCTGCTTCGTACGGTTTGATGGGAACCCAATCAGTAGAAACAACTTTCATCTTATGCCCGTCGATGCTGAACTTGAACATTACATCTGTCCCGGTATTCACCTAGCAAAGTTAGCTATTTTGGCAAAGGCCGTAGTGGGCTTTGGGAGATATACGATTCTCAATAGATGTTTCTTTCCGGCCTGGAATTTGGTTTCGTATCTCGTTCCCGAATTTTTACAATTCGGGTCTGGAGAACCTGAACTCGAGCAATCGTACTTATTCTTGCCATTTATCAATCCGTTGTCGGCAACTGGTGGGAATCCGGTGATTGATTGAGCCATCTCAGTGGCAAGATCATTTGCAGGTCTATGAAACCAATCCGTTAGGAGTACGGGTCCGAGATCGATGTCCCAGTTCGCACTGCTGGGGCCGTGAACGACAATGGGGCCCACAACACCGTCGGTGTACTGAAGTGAAAAGTGCGAATGGTACCAGGAAGTTCCGTATTGCGTCGCATGCCATCTATAGGTGTAGGTTTCTCCCGGCTGGAATCATCAGCATATGGACGGGAAAGTGGGTTCGGGAATGAAGTTTTCTCACAGCAATAGGGCATTGAGTGACACCAATAGCTCCGTCTGCATCTGGAGTACCCAGCATACGTGCTCCATGCCAGTGGATACCGGTTCCGGACGTTAATTCGTTGGTTATATGAACCACTGTAAATCTATGAGATTTCATGTCCGAGAAGCTTGTATCGGATTGATTTCTGTAGCCATTTTGAACGCACCTATGTAGTCCCCCCAATTCGCTTCCAGCGCTGGCCCAGGATATTGCCCATTCACTACCAACACAGATCTTTCGTAGCCGTCGAGGGCCATCGTTTTATTGGTAATGCTCCATTTATGCTGTAAGGGTTAGCCTTCGCAGATATTCATCAGGGGCAATTGTTCAGTCGGACCTCCACTGTACGACCGGTTTTAGGGGTGTTAGTGTAATAATCGGTATTAATGTCAAACCCTGGTGACCAGCAGTTCCTTGAATCCGCGGTGTTGGTGCAAGTATGTTTTTCATCCGAGGCAGGTTCAGAAACCGGGATTGCCGACACCAAAGTGTTTACTACGGCAATCAGCAGAAGGAGGCTGGTGGTGATCATTTTGGAGAAAAAGAGTGCTAACAGCCACTAATATAGAGGTCTATCCTCGAGTTGAAGTCCTCACAGAAAATATCTGGACCACCGGAAATCCGTCTCTTATAAAGTTTTTCCTTCCCAACATCTTCGACTTCTTTTTCGGAAATTCAGGAGGAAATGAGACACGGACATGACATGCAGTGCTTCCAGTCGTCCGGCCGTTCCGGGGCGGGGTCCGGCGAAGACGAGACATGTCTCGTCCACGTCTCGTCTTCGGACGGACTGGACGGGCTGAGCGGCCATCGAATGTAGAGAACGGGAGATGACCGTGTAGTAGTACTGTACTTAGCCAAACACACACTGGTGCCCGAGTACTGCAATAGGTTAGATTGGGGATAAATTTAAATTACAAGAATCCAAGCAAATAGATAAATAAATAGCCAAAACAGAATAGAGTGATATCTATAAAAGAATGATTTGCACTGGCGTGGTATGAAGTACCGTAAAAACCCTTATAATCCGTAGGCCCCCGTAAATAGCGACATCAACCCACGACAGGTTTAGTTTGGCAGGTTAACGGTAATGCGGATACCAGTTAGCGAGGTCCCGTGGGCTGATGTTGTACCGTGTTAGGAGAACGCTAATCCTTCTCAGGAGCTTCTGACTCAGAATCAGGAGATTAGGGGCGAGCGGAAAAAGTGGATTGTAAGGGTTATTACGGTAATAGCGATATACAGTACTTTGTACCGGTATTATACGAGCACTCGTACAGTGCTCTGCCTCCATGTCCCGGTTCAACTACCGGTGTGAGCCCACAATACCGTACCCCTTTCCTCCTACGGTACACAACCTTTTTGCTTTCCCACTGTCTTTGCGTTTGGCCATCCCCTTCCCCCCCCCCCCCCCGGTTCAACTTTTCTTCTAGTTTAGGAGGTTAATTTTCGATAGGAACAGGGGTCAGGATTTCCCAAAATCTCGTCCAAATCCGAAAACCCCCTTTTCTTGTTCAATGGAGTGATTTCTGTCGGGAATTGGAGGAACGAAAAGTTCTGTTCGGTTCAGCGGGGTATCCAGATTAGTGGGGTGCGGGATAGCCGGGTGCAACAGTAGTATTGTACTGCGGTAAGTGCCGTAAAAATTCCTTGAGTCCACCATCGGATTGCGCAATAAAAATCGCTAGACCAAACTATAATAGGTTTGGTAGGGCTGGCTATCGGAACGATAAATAGCAGTTAATGAGATTGAGGGGCTCAGCCTCCCTAAAAACTATACTCTATCCGGAAATCTCTATTCCTTCCTGGGAGGTCTTACAGCTGTTTGCGGAGGCTCGAGCTCGATAAGCGATGGTGGATTTGAGGAATTTCTACTCTGCTCGAGCACAGTACGGTACCCGTGCAAGCACAACCCAGGTTCTGGGAATCTTTACCTTGAATACGGGCACCATTTACTCGATGGGTGAGCCAAGCCCCTGGCGCTCGCCGGTGAGGGGGCAGCGAACCTCTCTGTACGAGTACTTTCCTTGGGGATGTGCTTCCTCTCCCGGTTAGATGCTGGTACCAACAGTCATGTGTAGGTTGCCATTTTGCACCAAAATTGCATGACACTAAGGACTCCCGAATTAACAAGATGGAATGAATCAGAGTAGCGTTATGTGCTTCACGATTACTCCGCTTGTTCCGGTAAAAGCTGTTTGATTTTGGCACTCTTATGTGAGTGAGTGCTGGTAGCTAAAGATTGGTTCTTGAGGCGTTGCGATATGCCCTTCCTCACAGAAAACTGGGATGATTCGATGTACTCGAGTACTGTACCGGTAGGCCGTGTGAGGGTTCACCGGGGCTTGGCAACCATTAGCGGCAAAAGCGGCCTGCGGTCGACGACAGTAGAAAGCCAAGGCCGTCCCGCGTCTCGCTGAGGTTGTAGCCACGCTGAGCCCTTACACGGTCTATCATTTGTCCGTCCTCGATGCTTCTAAATTTAATGTTTCTCTACCGAAGTCTATTGACAATTTTTTTTCCTTTTCTTCCCCCTATAGCAAATCCCATATGATTCTAGGAGGTTTATCTAATTAACTTTTTTTACCGGAGCAATCAAGGTGAGATTTCCAAATGCAAAGTGGCCCACTTTCGGTGTAAAATGCTTACCCACTCATGACTTTCGGTGACGGGCTCGTACCTTGGATCCCGAACCTCGATATCCCTGATGCTGCACGATAGGTTCGTCGAGGTGCTATAAGTAGATAAGTCTACGGTGCGCAGTAAGGTAGAATAACAAGAAGGCTCCTAATAATATGATATTTCCCTCCCTCCAATCGATTGGCTGCAGAATCGCGGATAGTTCTGAAACGGCTGTTATCTGCTAAAAGCCTTACGGTGTTGTAATTTATGTTACCACGGAGTGCTATGCGATGTTGAGTCGCTCGAACGCGCGAGGAACAGCTGCTCGGATGGCCTGGGAGATGGCGCTGTCAAATGCCGTACTGGAGGTGAGCAGACTACCGCCGAAGCAGAGGTCCAGCAACGCACCCCCACTTTAGAAAACCGATATCAATCGGCCACCTGAGCTGGTAGCTTGTGGGTTCGGATCCTCTCACTTAGCAAATTGCACAAATTCTCTCCGTGGAATGTGCTTAACCTGCTGACAGGCTCCATCGTGTTGGACATGGGCCCGGGACCACATCCAAATCCCAACAACTTTGCTTGAGTGGTCGCTTGGACATTGCAAGCAATGGCCTTTTGCCGCGGGAAGTGATCCTAGACGGTATGGAATGCTCGTACAGGGCAGGCTTACACGAATACGGTACAAGTACAGTTTCTCGCTGGGCGGCTAACCTGACAGTAGTCGGGTACCGGTATCATACAAAATGATTTTGTGTTACAGTACCGGTACCCTTCTTTGACTAACTCACCTTTTTTGCCTTCCGGTAAGATCCAGGTTTGTACCACTGTTTGTAATTCTCCCGGTTTCGTGAGGTTGGATAGTACGGTACAGTACTCTATTGGTTTGAAAATGATATCCTACCGGTATAGTGGTCTGCATACGTCGCGCAGCCCACTGTTAACCCGTCTCTCGACCGTGCAGGTGACCAGCTTTCAGGCAGCCAGGTTCGGCAGGAGCTGAGGTTGTAGGTTGTGTTGAATGACATTTTGTGCTCGGGGGTCCTTTGGGGTGGAGGCGGTTTCGTTGGTCTGTACGGGCTGATGCTAATTTTTTACATACCGTGAAAGCTGAAATAATTGAGTTGTGTGCTATGTCGTTGGAGTTGCCCCTTCCAGTAAGGTGTGGTGTTTTTTGGGGGGGTTTTTGTTTCTCAGAGGGGCTGAGCAGGCTATTTTTTGCAGTATTTTTTGCCCCTTTTTCTGAGGGAGGGAATCCTCGACTTCATAGCACTTGACTCGATTATTCCAGTTTTGACGATAAGGGTATGGTCTTTATTCGTCCGTATTTCAACCTAATATGTATGGTTACTAATACTCACTCTGCCGTCGGCATTCAAGAAATGCCCGCAGGGGGGGGAGGGGGGTGATATGTGGATTATTACATGGATTGCAATACGGTAGCTAATGTGTCAGTTGCGATGCAGAAAACGCCTGATGTTGGGTAAAGCTACTTCCTTTTACTCTTACATTAGAGCTTTTCCGGTGCCCCATTTGGGACATGAGTAGAGGATTTTTAATTTAGCCAAGATAACGAAACATTCCCTTAGGGGTATAGCCCGGGGAACTGGGTTGTTCGGATTTTCTATTCTTTCTTCCTTGGAGAAAACATTTCCGGAGATTCTTGGGAACAAAGACCCATTTTTGCGTACCTAATCCTGAAATGGAGTAGCTCCTGAACCTTGCGGAACTTAAAATCTTTTCTCCTCGTAACCTAACCGGGGCTCCAAAAAAGCTTTATTCTCGGACATCGGGAGAATATTATTGGCTTGGAAGGTGGTACGAGTACAGCATATCTCGGCGACTTGGATTCCTGTTTTATAACCTTCAATACCGGTACTTCAACTAAATCTCACCCAAAATTATTCATACCCCTGGAATACTGGAATACTGGACTACCGCACTGGGTGGGGACCCTTTGCGGGCAGGGGCCGGCGTCGCTAGGGCGCAATATCGATGCCGTCTCTGAGCACCATGGTGGGCTTTTACCCATTGGGTTCTGCAAAACCCTCCCCGGGTAGCCATTGCTCGCGGGTTGCTCCTGGTCTTCCCCGGAAGTTAAATCGGCGGATTGGCGTACTATCAAGGATGGGTTAATTTGCAGGGAGCAAGCCAAATTGGCCAACACCAGTTGTACCAATTCAGGCGGTGGATGGCAGTTCCCCGGGTAGCCCCATGGAGGTGGCATGGATCCTACTGCAGTAAGGACTCGAATAATTAGCAGTTGTGCTAGGGCGTTAGACTTGCATTTACTGGGATGGCCCGGCACATTTTCGTCTTAAGCTGGCACTCCAGGGGTGATTTTTCGCAGTGTTTTGGCACCCCTATCCGAGAGAGGGAATTTCAGACGCCCTAGCGAGGGTGCCAATCATTCGAGTTCTTACGGTATTGGGTGCTTCTGAGCAACGTCGGGATCCGAACCTTACAGTATGGGACTGTTCTCGATGTCGTTTAAGTACATTCACCGGTGGCTGTAGGCTATCTGAGTGCACAACGGCATTAGCTTTTGTTCTTGGGGTCTTAAGTAAGTATCGATGGAGATGTAATCCCAGGTGGTAGTGGGTAGGATACAAGGGTTTATACTGAGGTCATGTTATGTTCTGGTTGGCAGGGTTGTGGCTGTGGCTGTGACTATGGTTATGTGTATTTCTTTCTATTGTGAGGGTTTGGATGACAGCTTTGGATACTTTCTCTTTCTGTATATCTAGAGGACACAAGTGGTCGAGGACCACTCGTCGAACACATCCATTCCTACCTCCGCACAATGACCATCCCTCCGCTGCTGCGAAACACCCGCTGTCGGCACTTGCTATCAAACATGTGGAAACTGAAGGCACGGTTTCCCCTCGTGAAATCGGACCATCTCAACCGGTTTCCTCAAACAAATACTGACCACCAGTGCGTGCAGGAAAAAACTTAAGCGGAAGGTGGAGGAGCCCTCGCATAATACGAGCACATTGCTACTCCCACCCACGGTGCCAGTTTCCGATTGAA